GATTGATACTCCTCTCCCTAATGCAATTGTGCATTTTATTCACCTGCTGAGGAATTTCTCCGCCCCACGGGCGGGAGGGTGGGGCAAATGGAAAAAGGGTGTTTTGCGGCCCACACTGCGAGGTGGAGATAAACAATATTCTAATGGATTCTCAGTAGCGAAACAGTGCAAAACCGTTTGAAGACAGTGATAAATGAATTAAAATAAAATGTTCGCCCCCCACCCACTTCGGTTCCGGTGCACGAGGAGGAGGAAAAACAATTATTTGTCCCAACATTTCAGCTTGAACACATCTATAAATTTTATTTTCATACACTCGGACAGCATGTGAAATACACTTTGTGCGAGTGTTTTATTTTAATTGTACAAAGTGCAGATGCTGAAATTTCCATCTCATTACTCCATGGGTTGTATCCTCGAGGAGAATGGCACTGCTCGCCCTCCGCACTCTGCACTTCTGCACAATGAATTGCACCCCCCCACGGCGGGCGGGCGGGGGGTGGAGGGCATGATGTACAAATTTAAAATGAAAACAACAAAAGCAAGAGCAGCAAAACATTTTCCATTTGCAAAGTACAACAATGTCGGAATTTTGCACTACAGCTCTCCCACCAGCGCTCCTTACATTTTCTCCGGCCACCCTTGTACTCCCTTGGGCGTGAGCTCGTGTGGGGCGGCGATGGCGACAGTAACAGAGAGCTCAGGAGCTCTCAAATGTGCGCCCCGCCGCCCAAGAGCGGTCTCTGATGGTCAAGAGAGCAACATGACAAAGGGAAAATGTAAGAATTTTTCCAGAAAATGACAACATGGCGAATCCCCGCAGCGGAGCGAGTGACTCAAGGGGTGGACAACTGTTTATTTGAAAGTACAGTCATATTACATTTCTTACTTGTCTTTCAGTTTTATCATTGTTTTCAAATTCTAATACGAAACATTGAATTTGGTAAATCGATTTTATTGATGCTGGAATAGTGTATCTTTGAAAACCAAGAGTGAAAATTAACTAAATTCATTACAATTACCGCAAATCAACGATCTTTTATGAATTATTACCCGATTTTACTCAATATACTGAAGATTTTCCAATAATATTTTGTATAAAAACAAAGGGTATAAAATTCCAGTTAAATACAATATATTTGGATCATTTTAACACATCTACTTCATGATATTTCCAGTGCACCACTTCTGATCCTGTTTTTTACCACTTAAAACTAGCTTGACTTCAAGCCATAAGAGATAGAAGTCAAATGAAAAATGCTAAGAATGCATCTTATATGGTTAAAACATAGAATTTCTATTATAATTTTTCTCATCTTGTATGTTGTCCCGATGCCTTGTTATTTAGCAATGAGCCGCCCTTTGGCCAAAAGTATTTCTGTGTTTACACAGAAATTTAATTATTGCGTTATGTTCCCGTTTCATCTCTGCCATAGTGAGGGTCTTGGGGATAATTGAAAATTGTGCTCCGTCTCCCCTCAACTATCATCTTTTGCACCTTTCACGCTCCTCCAACTGCTTTCTGTGCTCGTGAGCGTGGCAGAAAGCACTGTGGCTGATGAATTATTCTCATTAAGATGGCGAGGATGCTCTCAAATTGAACTTTCTAGACACTCCTCGAGGCAACACAATGGCGCGGTGCAGAGTTGTCTATGCGAGAGTTATTGCAAAATACACAAGGAGAAGTTTTTGAGTTCAGTAGAAGCGGAAAACCCGTGACCACCCTTTATTAAACTTTGTTTTATTTGTTTAGTGAAAAGTTTCCAGTTTTAGTCGGTGAACTCTTCTCGGCCTTCCTGCCTCGCACCACCGGAGGTGAGCGTGGTCTTTTCCTTTGAAAACTGTGAGCTGGGCAGAGGGATTGGCTGCGGGGGGAGAGAGTCATGGGCCGGGACTCGTGACGATGAGGAGGGCTCTCGAGCTGGAGCGGACAGAATTGGTCCATGGTGGGTGGGCGAAAGTAAGCATCATTTGTGCAGAAGCTGAGCAAATAGCCGAGTGGGTGGAAGATTGTTTGAATTTATAATATTTCTAATGGGTGGGAGGCGCACCCCGACCCAGCAGAGGAGCGCCGTGATGGACACGGCAGAGCCGAGGGACGAGAGAGTGACATAAGAGGGCGAATGACGTTGATTTATTGAGTGTTGTCCATTCCGGGTGGAAAAGAATGGGTTGAAGTTGAGAAGACGCCTCATGAAAATTTCATGACGCACATCTCACTGAAAGAAACCCCACATTCATCCTAAACCACCCTCTCACCGCTCTCCTTCTCCCTCTGCAATGCCGAGAAGAATGGGTGGAAGTGGTGGTGAAATGGGGTTGTCGCCCTGAGTTTGAATTGAAATTAATTAGACGGATACGTCGGGATACACGTTCATTAGAATAAAGTAAGGCAAAAGTCATTACTGCTTAATGTTCTGAAATTTCATTTCTCACTCCAACCTTCGCACTAATGGCTGCGATGGGGAGAGAAAGTTTTCCCTTAGCTCTGAAACTCTCATCAATATTCAAGGAATTCTATTCAATTTTTCTTCAATCTCAACCCCTTTCTTTCGGTCGTGTCCTGGCGCCACCCCCTGAAAAATGTGCTTAGGCAATAGGGAATTGCCGAATTGTTCTGGGTGTTTGCCAAATTGTAGAATAATTCTCATATAAGAGCACAAATATTGAGGATATTTTTAATGCGGGTGTGGGGCATCGCATGGGGGCTTAATCTCTGGCCATTATTCCCTCCCATTGAGTCTCTTGAAGCATACCATAATGCTGGGGTGGATCGGTTGGGGTGGGTGTGCTGGATGGATGATGATGATTATATAGACGAGAGATATTTAAGCTTCAAGTGTTGAGCTTTATGAATCGTAAAGATTCGAGATGTTGTTTGCTTTCATGACCATTGAGTTGTCTGTATTGAAATGAAATTCACCCTCACCCCGAGTTTTGAAGCCCATTCAGGCGATCATTGCAAATTTCTCCAATACTCCTTGAAATTGTTCGCCTGGACTGGAGAGAGAGAGAAGAGCGCCGGAAAAGGAAGAAGGAAAGAATTCTCTTCATTACGGTTGATTTGATAGGAATTGACAATGAATGTGTAAATAGTACTGAATGTTTTCGAATGAATTTATTTACTTATTCTTTCATTTATTATGAATTCATCAAATAAAATCACGTAGAAAAAGTAACATTTGATTTTTATGCACTGAATGCGTTATAAAAGCGACTAAATATTAATTAGTAAAGATTTTATTGATTGAGTTGTGTAAGCGAAACTTCTACATTTTCACACCCTTCAATGTGATTATTTAAAAATAAACATGTATCTATGCAAGAGCAGCACAACAGATTTTGTTTCCCTCTGAAATCACAAAAGGAATTTTAATAATAAAGTGAAAGCAATATTAATGCATTGAGAAAGCGATGCCCAAAGCACTCTGTGTACTCTGATAATGATGCTTGCATAAATTTCCTGCATCGCTCTATCGAGGCGGGATATTAAGGAGGTTGTAAATAGCACTTTTATCATCCTGGCAAAGTGTATTTAGTGATGTATGCACATCCTTTCGCCGCAGCTTCCACCACGAGGAGCGTATTTGAAAATATAGCTCCAGGTATAAACATGAAGTGGTGAAAAGTTTATATTTCTCTGTGGAAAATTTATTAATTTTCCGGCAAAACTTTTCCTCCCCAGCCAACATGAAAGCTCTTGACGATGTATTAGGGAATGAATGCATGGAACAAGTACTCATTAAGCATTATTCAGTCACCCTGTTTATTTATTTTTCCTTCGAACTTTATCCAAACTAAAATATTATACAGAGAATATATAGTTTTATATGCAGAGAGTGAGAAGGCTTCCCTATTTTCCCACCACACGCAACTTCCACTTTGGCTTTCCCTAATGAATTATTATTGTGCGAGGTGAAATGAATCCGTAATTTTCAGTCCTGTCTATGGCAATATAAGGCAAAACTTTTCATTGCAATTAATCTACCGACGGCTTTCAGCCATTTTCCACGGCTTCTCTTCGCCGCCAGTGTTCGTTCGGCGAACTTGAATTTCCCATTCATGTTCAATGAACTCACGGTCGATTGTGAAAAAATTAATATCTCAACAATAACACATAATGACCTTTAAATAAATCATATATTATATAGCAAAGTACAGAGAAAAAAAAAACTCTTCGCTTGAGGAAAAAAACCCACCGTGGCTGCATTTGAGAATGGCGCATGAGCGTCAAAGATGAAAAGTCGTGAGAGAGGATATTTTAGTGAAAAAACTCACTTATTTTCCTATCTGTATCGGCGGGAAAAATCCAGTGTAAAATACATATTTTCCCACTTGCAATGTGGATCATGAAAATCATGCCATCCTTCGGCTGTATTGAGTGCTCCATTTTGTCGATGCCCCCTCGATATATGTCTCAGAAATGGAGTCTCCGACGCTCACACACACAGCGATGCTTTTTCCCATTTTCCACAACTTGCGGAAAACTCACAAAACGGCTCTTGTGCGCAAAAGCCGCCCAGATGGATGCACACACGGACAGGAGACGAGCATGTCCTCAATCGTGTGTGTAGAGCGCAGAGAATTTATGTGTTTGAGAAAGGCGGTGGAACTCTGTGCGGCGCTTGGGGTGGGGGAGATAAGCATTTGCATCGGGAATCAACGTTATTTGGGACTGTTTTTGGCATCGAAGAGAGACTGTTTTCGACCAAAATGTCCATAGAAAATCCGCACAGCAATTCTCTTTCCCCCTTTGAAGTGTCTTTCTATCGTGGCGAACGCATCTTTTCTTGTCCTGAAAAGGGGTGAAAATCACCCTTCGAATGGACGCAAAGCACTGCATGAATGGTTGTGAGGGATGAGAAGACGCCTCTGAATTGCTTATGTGAAAAGTTAAAGGGTTCGCAAGTCCCCAAAAATAACGATTGTCTGCGCAAAAGTAGTGCGCGAAGAGCAACACCGAAAAACTCATCTTGACCATCTCTCTCTTTTTCTTGCAGACGCTCAACGGAGGCCCATGTAAATACTGGTGCGGATCAATATGGCAGAGGAGACGCTTCAGATACGCTTTGTTAATAAATAGATGCTTTCCGCTGTTGTATTTTATTGGAGAGTCGATGATGCATGGCTTCTAGAAGAGTTGGCCTTTAGAACGCTTAGTTGAGTCGCTGAATTAATTGTGGGAGAATTGCCTTATGCACATTATTCAAATGATCATCAACACCGTATAAATTGGCTATGGGGCGAGCGCCACCACCGCCATGCACCACCCTCACACCCCCGGCGACCATATTTATAATCAAATCACTGTGGCCATAGGTAATCACTGTAGAATTCACTCACCCACACCGGGCGTCCCTCAAAACACCCACGGCAGAGGCACTGAGTGATATTGCGAATAAACGGGGCAATTAGTGATCAATTAGGCTGTCTGGCACGACGCGCCGTGCCGCCCAAGACGCCGAGCCGACCAGCGCCACCCCCACAATCGCCCTCGCCCCTCTCGGCGCCCTTCCCAGCACGAGAAATCATATCAATCAATCACTGAACACTTACCAAAGAAGCCTCCAGCAGAAAGCATGACGCACCAGACACATCACACTGGGACAAAAATTTTTTCGCACTGAAAAACCTAAAAACGAAATGCAGTTATCAAAGTCCTAGGCTAATGCTTCTCGTTGGCGCAAAAATTGAACGTCGCGAATTTTTCCCAGCCGAACACAAACACTGTCGCACTGCAACCCCTGATCCATGTGACCGCGCACACACACACGGCCACCCCTCTTGCCGGCCGAGCTTTTGGCGCGCTTTCTCACCCACACAGCCGCGCCGAGCGCAACAACGGCGCCGAGGAAAAATGCCGTGGATTGGCAAAAATCAACCCCTGACCGGTGGCGCCATCTGGCTGACGGAGGAGCAACAACTGGCGAAAGGGTTGAAGCCTCACGAAGTTGGGTTTCTGGGGTGAAAGCGAGCGAGTAATCATCGGTTTTAAAACAGCATGAATTAAATATTTATTATTATTATTATTCAGATGGGGTGTGAGGAAATTCACGCTCGTCGCGTGTGTCAATGACTCCAAAAAAAGAGAATAAGGTCTGCAGCGTGGAAATTAATGTGTGTCAATGAAAATGCATTCCGTGTATTTTTCTCGCTTTCAAGGAATTTTGAGAAGCAACAGTAATTAATGAATTGTTAGAGCGAGAAATTCATGATGTTACCTGAAGCCTTCAGACAGTAACAATGTCCTCATCCCTATGAGTTAGAGACCAGAGAATCTATTGGAACATGAAGCAGAATAATTCTAAATAAGAATCACACAAAGCAAATTTAATGGACAAAGTATCTAGATTAGATTAAACGAAATCTGATGATTCTGAGAGAAATTTTAAATTAAATACAACTGAAGTCATTTGGCAATTGACGGAAAGTATTCTTTCTATGTTTAGATCAGACTTTTTAAGTGAATGCCTTTAAAAACACCCACAGACTTTTGCGTATTAAATATTATTTTCTGATATTACATCATTTGTGTGACATTTATGTAATTGAACTTTTAAGCCTTTTATATTGAGCGAATTTAGAAGTTCATTCGCGAGTTCGCCACAATTGTGCCGCTCACATGTAACTCGCGTGCGAATCTAGTGATGGAAGCGAAATTTCATTAATTTCATGATCAATTTAGGTTGATTCAATTTATTGACTGAATGCCGCTATTATGGTCTCGAGCTTGACCCGATGTCCTTTGCACAGCCTCGCATTATATTAATCGAAGTCCAGTGGTGCGGGGCCGGGGCCGGGGGTGGAGCGGGGCTCCCATTGATATGTACAATTCGCTTTCACTGCGCCTACAGAGGTTGCTATATTATATCGATCGTAATGTCGATTTGAGCGGCGAATTGTCTAAATTCTTACACCGGAACTCTGTCTCATGGGGCGGCCGTTGGAAATTGCCGTAAGCATAAAATTGCTGGGAAATGGGTTTTGTCCACTTGTGCTCAGGAGTGGAGAAGCTCTGGAAGCCCGCGGGGAAGGAAGTGTATTTCCATTGAACGGGGCGCACATAAAAAAGTGTAACAAAGATAGAGAGTGGCCTCAGCAGAAAGGATATAGAGAGAGATTTTATGTAATTACTCGAGCCTCGCACAGATCCCAGAGGACAAAATTGCCTTTCGCATGTTTTTTTTTATTCTCGCCCGATGGCATCAGGTGAAAGCCATTTCCACCCTTTTATGCACACAATATTTTAGTCCTTCCGCTGTCGGAGAGATCCTTTTTCGGGAAGAATCACGCCATTTGAGCCACTCATTTTCTCACATGCGGCCATGCCTAAAAGCAGGGCCATAATTTGACCTTCTCCTCTTCTCTCCGGCGTGTGCGAAAAATGAATGGTGTGAATCGTAAAAACAAATCTCCATCATTTCCGAAAGTTGCCACCCTCGCGTGCTGGAGATGATACTGGAAAAAATGACTTTCGCTAAATGGCCGAGAGACCATCAGGAAGGTGCGTCCGCGTGTGGTGAAAGTGCGAAAGCGGCCGGAGAGGATTTTTAATGAGTCCCATCATAAAAGTCTGACGATGATTCCCAAATCGCCCAAGCAAATTTCAGCCATATTAGTCGTGCACACCAAAAATTTCGGCCATTATTCCCTCTCTTTGCCACCCCCATAATGGTTGCCTTCCAGTGTCGCTAACCCTTTAACCCTTTCGCCCAACACAGGCGCACCAGGGCAAAACCGGACGCCATCGTTACGACGCAAAAAGCCGTCCTTACTCTCGTGGCGGTTTTGTTTTTGGACTCTTCCGCCCACCCACCCACTCGCCTTCGCTCACAAAGACATTGCGCACGCTTTCTGGCCATCGCCTCGGTGACCAGGAGCAGCCCTTGGCGACTATCCACACCCCCGCCGCCCAAGGAGTCCTCGAAAGTCCGCACTTTTGCGGAAAAATACTCTCTTTTTAAATAATTTGTGCTGCGAAGATATTTTTTCTGCACCACTCTAAAGCCGTCAGTGCACGGGCTTTTGATGACGCTGGCACACAAAAACTAAAATGTGTGTATGGTACTTTCAGCGCCCACCCCCACCCCCCGACCACCCACTGAAACTGCTGATACGGTCGGATATATGCGTTGCCTGCCGACTGTGCATACATGCTGGGTTGTTGCTGATGCGAAAATGTTGATGGCGGTGGAGAGCCAAGAGATTCCCTCGGTGAAAATTCACCCCCGCACTCACTTTTCCAGGGTGTTTCCTCCACCAAGGGGAGCACAATTGCTGGCTGGAAGTACAATTTAAATTAATGTGAATTCACTGCCCTTCTGAACTTGATTATATATTCTATAACTGAACTAAATTGTGGGCAAATCCAAGAGGAATCTTTTGTCACATAATTCTTTGATATTCGCTCGTCTTTCTTGTCTTCTTCTCACCTACGAAATTTTCATCTTTTCTCCTAAACACTCCTTAGTTCTCTGAAACTTTTGGGGGAATTTCCTTGTTTAGATTACACTTACGTTTTAGCTGTCTTGTCAGTTGTTCACATTGCTATGTCGCATCAAAGAATTGCGAACATTCTCCGGTATCTTTGTTTTCTTGTTATTCACGTTGTCATTCTTCTATTTTTCTGTTCGTTAAATCTCTCTGAAGAACTTGTAATGAGCGTACGTTACATTGAATCTATTTTGCCTGCCTTGCGCTTCAATTTCTCTCATGGCATTATTTATCCATGCATTCAGTGCATGGCATTTGTGTGTGAGACGAAGTGGAGACTCGAAGTTAGAGACATATCAAAAACAGGCCTGAGGGTTGAGGATTGGACATGGCGTGGCGAGAGTGTGAGCGAAACCCTTTCGCCCCTCGTGAAATCGTGCAGGACGCTGTGCACGGTGAATTCGGGTGGGCCGCGATGGGGTGTTTTGCGAGCTAATAAGAGGCACGGGCTGCGGGACGCACTCATTTCGAAACTGAAGACTCATTCGCACTTTTTGCCATGGCACAAAATCCATGCGAGGATTTTGCATTGCCGCTCAGTAGGCCTGAGTACACAAAAACGGTCGAAATTTATATACATTTCCGCACATGTATAATACCTACATGGGTTTGGAAAATGGAAAACGTGCGAAATAGAGAGCGAGAGAACTTTGTATGCGTCAGGGATTTTATTTCATGTACACCGTGGGCTTTTTGCTAAAAACATATAAGTACAAATTGTATGTAAATTATATACCTTTGCATTGCGAAAGGCTCTTTCTCTCTCTCTGCCATGCCAAAAAATTTATATACAGTGCAAAGCGTAGTGCCGAGGCAGCAGATAAAATTATTTATCCGCGCTCACCACCCACCGCCACCCTCTTGTACACGCACCGCACACATTACAATTATGAAGCTATAGTTTTCGGCCTAAAACACACAAAAGACCTAAGAGAATTGCGTTAATTTTTCACAATACCTCAGCGAAATGCTCCGAAGGGTGGAATTTTTCACATCCACCAAAATCGATACTCCATCAAAATTCATCTAAATTATAAATGAAACCTTCTTGGTGCAAAGCTGCTTTATTGTTTAGCAACGCATTCAAATAAAATCAAATAGCTTTGGTGGCTTTTGTGGAAAATGCATTATGAATTGCCGGGATAAAAGTGCTCTTGAGATGTAAAGTGGCACAGCTCAATTATTGATTCTAGCGATACTTCAAGAGTAGTGCATTGAAAATGAACATACAGCAAAAATCAATCTGCTTTATTATCATTTGTGACTCTTAAGTGGGGTCAATTTATCAAAATTCAAGAGCTTCAGTGTAATTTTTGGGGGTGTAAATATTTAAATATCAGATAATCTTTTAAAATATTCCATTTTGTGTCTGTCTTAAATTGATTTACAATTAATTCACAACTCGCGGTGTTATTGATGAGGGTGCCTAATTGAAAACCCACGGTGAAGAAAATCAGTAAATAATGTATGTGAATTTGCAGAGGGTGAAGGAATTATTCCAGCAAATTAATTGCAAATAAACTCTCCATCGCGCGATGTTCAATGGAAAATTTAATGATTCACTCGTGCAACATATTTTGCACCTTATTTGTCCAGTAATATTCCAGTAAATTTCCATTTTCCCTGCACAAGAAAATCAAAGATAATTTCATTACAATTAACTATTCATAGCGCCATCCATTAATAACGATCACATTCCGACCGGTGGAATTTATATGAGTGTGTTTTTTTTGGTCTAACGTGTGATTCAGCGTGTATGGAGAAAAATCCAGCAAGGAAGACTGAATTAATGATTCTGGGTGCAGAAATCGATTGAAAGAAGAGAAAATCTTATAGAAAATGGATGTAATTTGAAAGTTTTTCGCACTCTCGATGTCCTTCTGGCGGAGAGAGGAGGAAAACTCACCACCCCTGGCTGACCACCCTCCAACGGTTGAGCATGAGATTGACAGTGGTATTGGTGCGAATACAGAAGTGCATGACTAAACGCTGAACGCACACAAGCGCGTGCAGACACTTTTTCCTCGGCTTTTTCACCCCTTCACAAAAATGGGGTGAAAAATGGCATTTTTGGCTCCACCTACCACCACGATTGGTGGAACTTTACTTAAGCACACCAACACAGACACTCGCGAACAAACACTGCCAAAAACGCTCAGCTTTTCATCCTTTTCGCCACGAAGTTTCGCCGTATCATTGCGCTGAGGGTGTGTGCGAGCCACCCTCTCGTCCGTGTGCGTGCTCGACCATCATGTCTCTCGAGGGCAGCCAGGAAAAATAATGATGGCTGTGCCGGACTCGGTTCCGATATTAAAGATGATGAAAAATTATATAATTTCCTCCTGTAAATCACTCTCGAAAAGACATACGAATGAGGAGGAAATGCAGGAAAAAGACAACTCATCTATAAATTACTCGGTATTGAAAAAAAAACTCTATCAACGAGATTGGAAATTTCACAATTTCCTCAAAATATCTTCAAGCATCAGCCATTCAGTCAATCTTCCTTCGTCAGCGCAAATGACGCCATCAATCTACATTATTTGCCATCAAGTTTCCTGGGTAGAAGGCGACCCTCACTTTGCACAGTCAATTAAGCCGGAAGCATTTCAGATTGGCGCTGGAAAATGCTAAAATACCATAAAGGAGCTTTTAAACTAAACCTCTGGGACAAGTTGACGCCAATTATTCACTATACAATCTGTCAAATAACGCCCAATCCTGTCTTGCTGTGACTTCGCGCCAGTTGAAGTCCAACCGACGGCTTTCACCAGCACATGATTCTCTTCGCGTTGGACTGCTTTAGGGTTAATTTAAATTTAATTCTGAAATACATCTGACGTTTGACAGGATGAGACAATTTGTACTGTAAATACTTAGCAAATTGATGAGGGTAATTACATAATATAAACATAGGTCTTGAACTTTTTCATCGTGACAGCGTTAAACAGTCTAGTTCAGTTCTGAGGAAGTGTTTTCCATTAGACATCATCATAACTATTCTATACAGCAGTGGAAAAATGCACCAGTTTTTATTTTCTATGAATATAATACCTTTCATCTTAACAAATTATATAATAAAAACACGTTTCACTCCAGAATAATAACGTGCAGAGGCTGTAAGTGGAAAAGAGTGAATTTCTAAGGTACAATTCTCTGAATTGTGCCGAAAATTTCCTTTCTGACTCACAGGATTTTTCTCAAAAGATAGAATTAAAGTTGATGTAAAAGCTTTTAAATACTTTAATGACAAGACTTTAGGCTTTTCACACTTGTTGTGAAAGAGTTAATTACTGAATTCATTTTATGTGTGAAGTAATTTTGCAATTTTAGACCACACATAATTAATTTTCCACTTTAATTAGTTAGAATACAGATCAAAAAGTCTATCATCACTTTAAATTTCAAATATATATATATTTAATTTTCAGTGTAAATTGAATAGAAAATGTGATGATAAAATGTCTACTGCAAGATTGGCACTTCCATTCAAAAGTGTAGTGAAATTTTAGATTTTTAAAATTCTCCCACAAAAGCCTATGCCAAACTGACTGGAGGCTAAAATCCCCAACAATAGAGTGGATTTGCATTTGTATTCATGTGCCTTTTAAGCTCATTTTCGGCGACAAGGCATAACTGAGGCGAATATAGAGGCACATTATACTCGCCCAGCGATTTGCCCTGAGGACGAAGGAAGGCACTCTGCATATTTATGCACGTAACATCCTGCGTTTCGCACACTCGTTGTCCTTTTCCCATTTTTCCGAGGGCACCCAGAAAATGACGATGAGAGACAGCGCCAGAGAATATTGCAGAGAGATTTCTCATCCGCCAAATAATGCGCGGCCCGAAGAGGGAATAGTCATGTCCAAGTTGAAAATGAATGGGTGACATAATCACGTTACGGTTTGTCGCAACTCTGCCTTTATTTCGGCCGGCGAAATCCCCCCTCCCTCAATCCAAGTCTGCAGTCAACTCTTGCACGCCGCGACGGGGGGCGTCGAGGGACGGGGTGCCCAATGCGAAGCGACGGCAACGCATTTCCATGTGTATCTATATTAGAGATGGTGGAGCTTTTGAGGGTGAGCTTTTTTTCCCATCGCCAGCGCGAATACGTCGAATAGTGAATCCTATTCTGTTTCGATATTTCCATTCGCCGAATTATGATTCATTCTACAACGAAAATGAACAGTATTTCATGCATCCAAATCCAATTATATCGTATTCTTTATCTGGTATTTCGCGTGAATTAGCCGTCAGCTGGGGTGCACAATGGAGAAACTCTCCTCAATTTCCCTCCATGGAGGTGCTGCTCAAGCTTCGCTACCTGTTCCTGTGGCCGCCAATCTCGCGTCACCGTCGAGACACACATTTTTTCCAAAATAAAAATAATTACACATAGTATATGAAATAAACATGAGTGAAAACAGCTGATTTGCCGCGTATGGAAAATTGTGGTGGTGGGAAAAAATGTGGCAAAATTACACGATTCGCTGTTAAATCGATTATTACAGGCGTGCGAGTGGGAAAACAATGTTGAATGGATGTTGGAGAAAAAAAGACTGCGAAAAATTACCGCGGGAAAAAGTGAAATTCCAGCAGGAAATGGATTTAGCCTCTCACCTCATGCTTCCAATTTGCATTTTTTTTTAAACCATATCATAATAATTAAATTTCACTGAAATCGATCCACATATAGTCTCCTCAATGTCCGCGAGCGTGGATTTTTAAACAGCGAAAATACCGTGAATTTTCACGGCGTCAGAGCCTATTTAACCTCTGGCGCAGGATAATGTCCGCGATGGAATTTTTGATTAAAGAATTTTTGCAAAACATATTAAAAAATAGTCAGCATGTCGGGAATGAAAGTTGAGATAACATGTTTGCTTACACATTTCCATGAAAATAGCTTTAAACGGATGAAATATCATACTAAAAACTTCACTATCGAGCAAAAGTTTGCGAGATTTTTCCAGTGGAAAGTGTAAAATGAATTTCCCGTAATTACACAAATGCTGCAATTATAATTGGAATTCAGACTTTATAGAGCTCTCAAGCTCAATATGACTGTTGGCAATTTTAAAGGCACGAGCTTCCGTGCACGGCAATTAAAGTCGGGCGAGAGCAACAACCCTGGATGACGCCGAAAGGGGTTCGGATGATAAAAACAAGATCACACGGCGTCCTCAAATCCAGACTGTCGGAGGAAATGTGGAATCGGAAAAGTGGAGGGATAAAAAAATCAGCAGCGGAGGTAAATAAATAAATATGTCGGTTGGTTCATCGGTTTGAAATAAAAACAATTGAGTCCATCGATTTCCCCGCCAGCGAACTCAACTCACACGAATGTATGTCTCTATATCAATTGACACAGAAAATAAAAATTCCAATTCACTCCCGGACCAGTTCTCATGTTCGGTGCGATCGGGAAAACTTTTTGCCCTTCAGCCGCGAACCCCCGAACTTTTTCCAATTCCCGGTGCGAAAAGCCATTGAGCGACTATCGGGGAAAAGCGGGCGGCCGCATCTGCTCAGCGATTGCACCTTCCGAGTCGCCCACCCCCGAAACACCCTGTCGATATAATATTATCATCGTGCATGTACACATTGGGCCCATGAATACATAAATGTGCTGTTGACATTGATCCCGATAATGTGATTATGGGACACACATGAGTGGTCGCTCGGGCGCGCGAGACGCACAAGAAGTGTCCTGGAAAAAGATGGGATTTTCCCGCGCCCACCCGAAAAGCGGCCGAAAAACTTCCACAACCACCATTTTATTTATTCAAACACGCACATCTGTTTGTAAAAATTTAACAGGTTAATTTGGGGATTTGTGCCGTTCGATGGGAAATTTACGGCTGTTTGAACGCCCCACGTGTTTGGGGTGAAATTGGCGAGCGAGTGAGCCCAAAAATATTAAATGCCTCGGCAATATTTTCAATGAATTGAAACATTTAATTCATATATAATGCCACCCTCTCGGCAGCCCATCAACCAGTGTGCGCCATTGTGTGCCGAATATTAACTCCACGTGCGATGCCAGAGAAAATTGAATGGAGGGACGCGCAAAATATGGGTGATAAGTTGTCAATTCGGGGGTGTCGCCCCGGCTGAGGGTAGATTAAAGTACAAATCAATTTCTGTGCACGTCATCGAGCGGGGATCTCACGATTCAATTGTGTCGTAATGACCAATTTACCCGATTTATACCCGTTTAAGCCGTGGAGGCGCCGGGTAATTTATGGCTTCTGTCACTGGCAACATTTGGGAGCGGCGTGCAGGGCATTTTCTTCCCTTATTAATTCCAGAATCTGTATTCACTCTCTCTTTGTTCCCATCGCGGCTTCGTGGTATGCATTTGGAGTGAAAATCTATTGGATTGAGTAGTTCATTGCATATTAAAATGCGATTATATACATAGCTTTGTATGTGTTTTAATGACTCTATTTTTGTTACAGATTGGAAAACAATAAACCACGGATATCTAAGTGCTTCACGTAAGTATTTCATAGATAAAACTCAATTAAAATCATCAAATGTCCAAAAGTGAGATTCTATCAAAACCATTGACATAAATTAAGGAAAGTATTTCAGTTTTTTTTTAGTTATTCACCCGTAATTTATGCAGTAATGAAAAAATTAAGCTGCGAAGTGACGAATAATGCTCCTGTCAGTCAAGCTTGACTCCGAATGAAATGAGAAAACGTATCGAATCCTTGCATTTTGCACAACCCTAAATATTAGAGAGCTTCACAATTAAACTTTAACTCTAATTACGCTGAGTAATCTGGAAATATTCATCAACTGAGGGGAAAATTCATTCCCTTGCCAAAGATATGGGAATTCTCTATCAATTTCATAGAAAATTTCATAACTGCCAGATAAAATTGAGATGAAATTTCTAATTAAAAATACAAATTGTATTTTCAGTAAGGTATGCAATGCTCTTTGAGTAGAATTTTCCCATTTTCTGCGTCGCTCTGTGCGGTGAAAGTGGGCGTACGGAGAAAATTATTAAATTTTCCTCACAATTCCACAGTGAATTTTCTCCCCATTTATAATGCACAATAGCAACAATTATATGTGGAAAATGCTGTAGAAAACTTTTATCCCACCATATAGTTTTGCAACATTATTAGTTTTTGAACAATTTTCCCATGGCATATATATTTTTGCGCTTATTCTCTCCTTCCCCTTTTTGTCGCCATCTCCTTGTGCACAAATTATATTAACACAATTTGCGCTCGGAGCACCAGTTTGAAAACATGTTTTCGCGATAAATGACGGCGAAAGAGTTGCAACTATTTCATATAATGCCAGAAACGGATGTTGATAATCAAAATTACTTTGGCAGCATGAATAAATCAGAAACATTTTCAACAAATTTTCCACTTTTCGTCCCCCCTTCCCCCATTGCTGTGCACACTGGGCATTGTCCTGATGAAATTACAAGTGCGGGTCTGCAAATGGGACGGCTTATAGTTGCTTGTGCTCACGCGACGCTCGCTCATGGTTGGCCGTCTTTCTCCCTTGTCCTGCACTCATGGGGAAATGAGAATTTCATTGAAAATTGGTGGCTTGAGTGGAAAAACTTTTGCCTCCACCAGTGGTAGCTTTTGTGTGGCAGAAAATATGTTATTTTCATAAAGTGGTGGAGGCGCATTTTCACTTCACAGAATAATTTGTGTGCAACCCTTCTCGACAGCCAGGAAACTCCATTCTCTAGCAAAACTACACAGAAAACATTCAGCTCCCTCTCCCTTTGCGATATATATATATTGAGAAAATTTTCGAGGAGAATTTTACACAATTTATCACAGAGTGAAATGTGGTTTCTCGCCCGGGAAAGTTGGCCTGGCTCAGCTAATGGTTGGCCTCATCCGAAAAACTCACCCCTTCAATTTTCTAATTTGCTGCCGCGTCTGCAGAAATCATGAATTTGCCACATGACTAGCAAGGACAGACTCGTGCATGGAATAAAGGCTCAATTTTGTCGACATTTCAACAAGAAATCTTGTTTTATTTTTCTTCAAGCACACTTATCAGTGAAAATTCCTCATTCAACCCATAATTTTGATTTATTTGCTGCGATTTTCCTATGCAAATGCCAAATTTAGGATAAATTTAGATGGAATTTATTAGTTCTTTGGAGAAAAATCAATGTTTTCCATTTGTAAAATTTTCATTTGAACCTCCAAAAAGCAAGTTAGTCGGAATTTCTGATCATTTTCACTTCTCTTAACCCTTCACCTGCGGTATTATTCTCCTCACACACCTGCGATTCCAATGGACAATGGTATGAAGAGGATAAAATCCCACCACAACTTTCTGAATAGAGAAAAGTTATTTAATTGTTAGTGGAAATATAATTTGCTTTTCGAACATCACCGAGCATTTACTTCATTTGCTTTCAAAACTCCCCAAATTGCATTCATACGGTGAAATGTCTGAAAACTCTCCCTTAATTCCTATGGGCAATTTGCAGAAAATGTTGCAGAGAATCCACCATTATTATTTCCACGTGCAAAATCCACCGAGAAAATTACGGTCTGAACACTTCTCGAAATACCAAAAATATCCCTGCTTGGATTGCTCTGAAATATTCATTAAACAATTAGGGCTTCTTGTGTAGGTTTCAGTTGGGCGTCTCTGGGCTTCCACGGAGGATGAACCGCGAGGGGGTTGGAATCAATGGAAAATAAATGAAATGCTGATAAAATGTAAATGTGCAACATTAAAATTTGATGCCTTTTGTCGCAAATACTGAGACCTCTTTGTAAATCATAATTATTCCGGAAATAATTGATGGTGAAAATGCTGGCGGACAGCGCGAGTGTGGGGCTCTGGCGTGGGGGTTCATTAATCAAAGCTCCAGTGACACTTTTTCCGTGAGCTGTAAAGCGTCATCATCAATTAAAAAGGAAATATTCATGCTGTTGCGTGGAGCTGCGGGGCGGCGGGCGGTGGAGGGTGTGCGGCCTTCCACTGCAGATGCCACCAAGGAGGATGCCAGAAGGAAAAGTACACAGGACGAGGCATTAGAAATGTTCATTGGTGTATTTTCCCAACAAAAACTCCGCCCATTAAAATATTCATTCGGGGCACTTCCATGGAGATCCTTCCGCACTTGTCCTCCGCACGGAATTTATATTACATCAGCGTCATCTCCTCGGGGCAGAAAAGGGGGTTGATGGGCGAAAGTACCGTCATAATTCACCTTTTGTGTCATACACAATTTCCAGCGTCTCTCTGTCATATTTTCTCCCATTTTGATTACAAAATATTTATCTTCCTCCCCATTATCTTACCCTTTGTGCTGCTCCCGCTATGCTATGTGGGATTCTTTTCATGCTCTGAAAAGCACAAACTTCCTGCTCGCCGCCAGTTGCATCTCGCCATAAGATTAAAATCCGTCCGCTCTTCGTCCTCCTTAATCCAACTTAATTGCATAAAGTCTGCACTCGCCACCCACTCAAACCCATTCAACTTCTCAGCATCCGTCTGGAGCTGGCGAAGTATATAGTTGCACCATGGCAGAATCTGAAACGAGCAAACGCCGCTCTGGTGAGGGGACGGAAGTTATGGCCTTAGGATTATTTTTGCATAACTACACAACTTTGGCACTGACTCTCAGTCGTGACGGAAAGTTTTAAATTAATTTGCAAAAGTTTCAGGCTATTTTGCCAAGAGAGGCGAATATTTTTAACGTGACAATTTATCGTTAGGGTGAGTTTGCAGTATACAAAGTTGAGTAATCTATGGCAAGAGTTTCGCGCCAATAACTTTACAGTACACTGTTGAATCGTTACAATCATGTAAAGTGAGTAGAATTTACACATGCAGCAATTCCCTTTGATCATCCCTCACTTCTCATTAACATATTTTCCACCCACTTTACCTCCTAATGCAAGTGAATTATCCTCTCAATGCACTATATGCGAATATTTTCATCTGTGATCATCGCAATCACTCTTCATATCGCTGGCATCTGGACTTCACACTCTGCACGCCCTTTTTGCACTCGCCATCGCAGCAGCATGGAATGGTCATGTGAGAAATTCATGCTTTTTGCCCGCTGCATGTAATTTTGACGGTGAGGTCTGTTCAGTGAACCGGACTGAGTTGAGTTCTCCATAATAGTCCAACTTTATTGCTTTTCCCTCCTGATTTGGCGAGGTTATTTTTCTGTGCCACATCCCTCGTGCGTTCTGGCGTGGGTGAAACTCTGCCCACCACCCCCTCTGAGGGGCCACCCCGGGCGGCCTCGTACGCTTTTGGCACACAGAACCCTGTCCACACCACCAACCGTGCCGGAAAAAATTCCCGGAATATTTCCAACTCACTGTAACTTTGCTCTGGGTTTTCCGCACAGGCACAGGGTTATACTGTCCGTTGGTAGACATTTGGAGAATGCACTGTGGTGTCCTTATATCTACTTATCTTAAAGTGAAGTGGGCGTGGCTTCACGCTTATTTTTATCACAGAATTGTTAAAAATTCTGTTAAGGTTCAAATTGTTGGGTGTTGTTTTTCTTTTGATCACAGCGACACCTAGAATCAACTGAATCTAGTCAGCTTTTCTCTTTTCACGCCTTGAAATTAAACTTAGTTTTCGGGTTAGATTACTTTGATTTTTGTCGAATTACTCAGGAAAATTCATCGTCAAGCAATTGCCGTCAATGATTGTTCATTGATTCGCTCAACCGCATTCTAAGCGCCAGTTTTTCGAGTTGTCCTGTGGAGGAACACGAAGTGCCCGAGAGGATGTACAGGGTGGTCGGAGCCAAAGGAACCAAAATGCTATATACACACACGACCACATGAAATTGTTAGTCTATCGCACAGTTGAATGTGTTTACTTTTTCCTCCAACCCGCTCTGTTTGAATTCCCGTCCGCGGCGTGGCGGGAAGTGCGGGGGTGAAGTACGCATATGGTGGAAAATTCCTTTTTCCAGCACCCCGAAAAACCTCCATTTCGTGCGTTTGCTCTGGCGTCGAGAGGGATGTGCGGGCGTCCATTTTTGGATGTTCTTGTTGTTTTTTCTTCTGCAATTCTGCGCCCCGTTTCACCATCCTCCCCCACCCCCCGTGGCGGTCCCCAATCAGGGTGTTTTCAGTGAATTGTATATTTTCATTTGGAGGCGCTCCTCGTGTGGATTCCGGCGACGCCATTCGCAATGGGTCGCATTGAGGGTTGTTGCTGCTGTTTGGACAAATTGTTTTGTTAGAAAATTGACGCAGATAATTTCGTCAAATGGGCCAGAAAACTGTATGCGGCTGTGTCCATGCGGTCTGAGGCCTCCTCTAAATGATGCCGGTGACCCCCGCCCGCAAATCGCGTATGGAGTTATCGAAATGGGTGTGTATGAGTGTGTCAATTGACTAAATACTATGGACGGGGGTGACGGGAGAGCATTAGGTGTCCATACAGTCAAGTGCATATTTATTAATTGATTTGGTCCGTTCAGTCGAACAATATCAGCTGATTGTGGGCAACT